TTCATATGATTCAAAAGTCAATTGAGGCATCACAAAAGTCAAACCCAAGTTGTTATGGTCAACCATAAGATTTACAAGTCTTAATTTATGATATCATATGGTTGGATCATCAAAAGTCAAGTTGGAACAATAAAATCAGGAGATTTGAAGAATTTGGGGTTCTTGATGAAATTTTTCTAAGTTAAAAAGTCAACATTTGAAGTGATTTTCAAGGCCAAATTCAAGATGGTTCCAAGTGTAATTTGTATTGGTCACTAACATGAAAGTTGTAGACCGTTTCTTTAGCTTTCTTTTGATACCAAAAACTAATCAAGAACATTTTTAGAATTCAGGTTATGATGTTTTCAAGTGGAGGTCAAAGTAGGACAAAACCTAGGGCAACATTTTTGCAAGAACTTCAAACCAAGGCCTCATGGGTTTCTTGACCTCAAATCAAAATTCATCCAACATGAAAGTTGTTCCCCTTGGTATAAGATTTCTAAGAACATAAAGAAGTCCTCATTTGGATCAAGGAGTAAAAATTTATGGAATCACAAAGTTTGGTGATTTTGGGCACAGGTTAGACAACTTGCCCTAGTTGCCAAGGCACTTCCAAGTCATGTTTTTGCTCAACTTGCAAGATTTCTTTTTGATAGTTCCAAACTTCAAATCCAAAAGTGCAAAATATCAAAGTTGTTCTCCTCCATCTTAGCTTTCCCAACATCTAAAGACTTCTTCAATTGGAGTTCTAGAGCTCAAGTTATGACATCACAGACATAGGCATCAACACTTTACAAGAGTTGTCCAAGGCAAGACCATGTCACGCGCAGGCTTGCCCAGGTCAGAATGTTGAACCAATTTTCATGTCCAATTTGCATCATGTTGCAAGATTCAACTCAAAATCATTAAAATATTAAAGTTGTTCTTCTACATGCCATATTTCCAAAAAGCACAAAACTTCACCATTTGAGTCAAAAACCAAAGAGTTATGGTGTGTCAAAGAGATATTGCAACCATGTTTGCACCTTGCCAAGGTTGCTTAGGTCACGACCAAAGTCTGTGTCAAGATAAGACAAACCTTCTCAGCATCCAAAACTTTTCTCCTATTGCACCAAACTTGTCATTCATAATCCCAAACATTGCCTTTTCAAGTTATAACTCACAAGACATGCAAAAAGCGTAAAATGACATGAACATGAAAATGTGCAAGTTCAGAATGTTGCAGCTCATCCTTGGACATCTGACTTTTGCTCCTCTTAAGCTGCTCATCTGATCACAACACAACAAAAGGATATCACTGCCCAACATCTACACCTTGACCTCGCCCGAGCCATCACCATCAAGTGGATCTTTTAATTTTTGGCTCCAAAGCAAATATTCAAAATGGTTCTGACCATAAAAACAAAAGGAGGAGAAACTCAAAGAGGAGGACAAACAAAAACCCCAACCTTCGAGCAAGAACACAATAACCTCAGTTTTGGAAAAACCTCTCCAACCACCATTTCCTTTTGTGCAAACTAGAAACAAACTTCAAAAACCTTCACTATGCATTACTGCTAACTCATTTTAACCCTCAAACAGAAGTTGTAACATAACCTTCACCATCCACCATTTTTATCCACCACTTAAGCATCAATTATCGGTTTTGGAAAATGAAAGGTTTTCCAAGCCAACCAATCACTCACAACCATTCCATAGGAGCTAAGGAGGTCGGGTAGCATCTCGTTTTTGCTTTACAACCGACATTGGAGAGACCTTGGATCAACTCCAAGAGGTAATCCTTCTGCTCCCTCAAACTTTTCATGTTCACGTCATTTTTGTTTGTTTTGTGAAAAAGATTTTTTCTTTGAGTTATTAGCATCATTTTTAAACTACTATATGTATTGTATGATTTGAAAATATGTTATTTTCTCATTTGAGTCATATTTGGTACCCACGGTTTGACCAGTTTTTGTGAGATTTGTGTTCATTTCTAAAGTATGATCTTGTTATATTTGTGATCCTGGTGAAAAATGGACCAAGTTTTCTTTTTATAGTTTTTATTTTTATGACAAAATGAGGGAGTTATGTTGATTTCATTTTTATGTTGTTGTTGCTGTTCGTGAGAGGGAGAGGGAAAAATCTGAATAAGAAGATGAAAGTGGAAGAAGAAGCTGACGTGTTAATGCTTTTGCTGAGCTGACCATTTATTTGAGTTTCTAAAATACATATTTTTATGGATGACTTATACAACGGATGTATAGTCACCCCAGTGGTAGAGGCAACTCGTTTGGCTAAGGAGTGAGGTAGCGTGAGTTCAAACCCTCCAAGGGCGCTTCCCTTATTTTTATCACTTTTTTTAACTTTTCTTCACAATTTCAAACCTTCATATCTTTTTGATCCCTAGGGATTTTTAGCTCATTCTTTTTGCTATAATCTCATTTTCATGTCTACTTTCCGTTTTCTAAAAGAAAACCTCAAAAATATTTATTTTTATTGTACTTGTGTATGTTCAAAATTTGTGTTTATTTAGGGTTTTTAGTTTAACTTTTAATTCTTTTGATGCTTTCTTGAGTTTCTTATTTGTGAATATGAGTTGTATAGACATCATTGTACCTTATAGAAACTTGTTTGATATTGTGAATTTGGTCCTTTATTTCCATTCTAACTTAACATAGTCTGCAAGTTGGTTGTTTTGTTTTGTGATGAATTTTGTTCATAGTCATAGATGTCATTGAACATTTTATGATGAACTTGCAGCCCTCCCTTGATTGCCATCTTGATGGGTCTTTTGCTTTAACTTTACCTTTGTACTTTGATTAGGGTTTCAGTTTTGTTGTGTACTGTGTCCCTTTTTGCTTAAGTGGGCATCTTCTTTAACTTCCAAAGGAAAAAAGCATGTGTGGACTTTTATGTCTTTTCTATTTTTTAAGACAGTCTATTCTCCCAATCACACCTTATGACCTTGTTAGAGTCATCACCTTGGCCTTGTAAGAGCCCTTTTCTTTTATAGTTTAGGGTTAGGTTTAGAGTTTGTATACTCTATGCGAGTATCATTGTGATGAGTACTTACCTTTCCTTTGTTGACTTTTGTCAAAGTCAATCCTCAGTTAGAATTTTCAACTTAAACTTAGAGAGTTGGTTAACTCTGTGTGAGTATCATGTTTATGAATACTTACTTCCCTTGGATCCTTGACCACAGTCAAGAGTTCCTCAACCCTAGTAAGGTGAACTACAGTTGCTCTGATTCTATTATAGTTAGAATACGTAGACACGAGATGTGATGTCTTGGCGAACATACTTAATGTATATACCCTAGGTCTTTACCTTGACACTTTTTCTTTAACAAACAAACTTTAGCATAAAACAAATACTAACAAGAGGTTCCTGTAAAGTACTACAGATACTTAAGATGCTAACACCTTTCTTAGGTATAACCAACCCCTAAACCTTAGATCTCTAGCTGTGTTGTTACATAGCGCACTTAGGATTTTCTTCGATCTTTACCATTTCTTTTGGATAAATCAAAGCTCTGCGGTGAACTTCATGATTTGTGATTCAAGTTAACTAATAACTTGATATCCGATTTTCACCGCAACAGAGAACATGCAAATATTGTTTAAATAACACTTCTTAAAAACCATCTGGGCCCACAGACTTATAAGAATGCATACAACAAAGAGCATTGGTAACTTCCGCATGAGTGGTAGCAATGGTCAATGTTGTGATCGCATCCTCCTGCAATCTCAGATACACAGTAGCGCTACTAGCAGTGCCCCGATCTGAATTAGTAATAATGGGACCAAATAAATTACTAAAGTAACTACGCACCTCTATTTGGAGGATAATCTCATCAGTACATCACGCCCCACAAGGAAGACGAAGGCCCTGAATTTTATTTCTTTTTTGTCGAATAATAGTTTGCACGTGGAATAATTTTGTGTTTTTATCTCATAGTTGAACCTATTTCTCCCGAGACTTCTGGTACCAAAGCATTTCTTTTTGGAAAAAAATGTTGTCGTCATATTCACACTGGAGATATTTTTCTAAGTATACCAATCTAGCCGAATCAATACTCTCTAAAGTTATTTGAATTCCCTTAATTATATTCTCAATGCTTTGCTTCTTCCTACCAATATTATCAAAAACTTCTTTATTAAAAAAGAGTGAATCTTATCTGACTTTGGCAAGGCTGTTGATTGGTATGGGTCAGCTTCCGTCCATGCTTTCTGCATAACAGTTTGATACTCTGGATGCATAATCCAGGCTGCTTCAAACCGGAAGGGGCGTTCACCTCGAACCGTAAGAACGCCAAACCTGAGAAGGAGCAGATTGTGGTATGAGTGAAGTCGAAAGAGGACTTCCATAAAATCTTCAGGGAGCTTATCTCTCCAGTCTATATTCACCATACCTCTATCCAGATTTTTCGGAACTCTTCGGCGTCCTCTACAATTTCGATGGAATGTATACTTACCTCCAGTGGAAGGCAAGTCTGTGAGAGTGGAATGTATACTTACCTCCTGCTGACCATAAGCCACTCTCCATGAAGTTTTGCACATTGATAATTTCGATGGAATGTATACTTACCTCCTGCTGACCATAAGCCACTCTCCATGCAGGTTGTTAGCATCCTCACTCACTTGACTGTCAGTTGCCGTTGCTATTCTTCTATTACTCTCCTCCATGATTGTTGGAGCTTTCGATATAGTTTCGGTTCGCATCGTAGTAGGGTCTGCCGCCATAGCTATATTTTTAGTATTTTTTTAAAAGGAAAAAAATATAAAAGGAAAAAGTATTAAAACAATAAAAAAAAGAAAAAAAAACAAAGAACGGGACTTTAAGAACGACGACGTTTAACTTAACTCGGGCACGTTGGCGGGAAAATCATATCGCTCTATCAACAGCCACTAGCCAGTGAGAAAATTAGGGTTCAGTACCTCTCTCTTTTTCAATCAAAGTTCACTCAAAATTACAAACACGAAAATTTTGTGAGAATAGTATTGATTCATCTGTGTATGCGATTTCAAGTGTGAACCAAGAAAATGCCGACGTACAAGGTCAGGGGAATCGACGTAGATTTCCCATATGAAGCCTATGATTCCCAGCTCGTTTACATGGATAAAGTCATGCAATCGCTTCAGGAGGTAGTGATTAATTCACTTAATCATCGCGCTTTTTATTTAAGCTATTTTCTGTAATCTGTTTTTTCTTCATGAATCGTGAAAAAGAGAGCTGTTATGTGATTGTTGTAATATAATTAAGATCATGATTGAGATCAGTAGTGAAACTTAGGTGTATTTGCGCAAATAGCTTATTTAAGAACTTATTCTTTAAGTCGTTCTAGAAAGTTTTATTAAGTGTTTATTGATAAGCTATTATGCGCAGCGATGAACTTACTGGAATAAACTGAAAACAGTATGTGCCATTGGGTGAATCTGATATTAGTTAATTCCAAATGTCTATTTAGTGTATTGTGCTATGGATATTTCTTGATACCGTGTATGTTTATGCGTGTTTCGGCATGGCAGGAAAAAAATGCATTGTTGGAGAGTCCTACAGGAACTGGAAAAACGTTGTGTCTTCTATGTGCTACTTTAGCCTGGCGGAAGAGTTTGGGCAGTTTCACTACTGGTTTAAGCTTAAAGACCAGCGATAAGGGTAAAACTGAAATTTCTTTGTCACAGTCCGGGGCTTCAAATTTTCCTGCAATTGTATATGCTTCACGCACCCACAGTCAGATACGTCAAGTTATTCAAGAGTTGAAACGGACATCTTACAGGTCAAATTATATACTGGACGATCTTTTTAGTACTAAAGTTTATAAATGACCAATCTATTGGTTCTATGATATACTGCTTTTTCTTTGGTTGTTGTGACCAATCTATTGTTTCTATAATATACTGCTTTTTTTGGTTGCTGTGACCAATCTAGTGTTTCTATGATTTACTGCTTTTTTTTTTCTGTCATGTAGAATGTACATTAGTTCACCGATGAATATTTAGTAAGTGTACCAAAAGTTATCACAAGTAATAAAATAATTCGTCTTCACAGGGATTGTCATATTCTAACAAAGCAATTTTAACTTGTACTTAAAATATTAATTTGGGGGTTTCTCAATGATTTGGTTTGAACAAGAAAATGAACAAAAGTTGGAAAATTATTAGATTAAAACCGATAGGTTCAATCTATGAGTTGGTTAACACATGCAAGTCTTTAAACACAGGATTAATTGAATAACAAAACTGAAATATCAATTTATGCTAATAATACAAAACTCGAACATAAGTCCCAACATATCCATATGTGTTAGAACTAATATGGAAGAAACTTAACTACTCATAATACAATTAATCATAGCTTTGAGTTTAGAGTAATAATACATGAAACTTGAGGTAGAATTTGGTCTTCAATGACGAAATACCTCCATTCCTAAGCTCCTTGCTCCCTCTTGCCGCCAAAATCCTCTTCAAAAAGGCCAACACAAGCAAAATCTCAAATTTTGCCTTTTAAAGAAATCAGAAAAAACGTGTCATCGTGTCACGATGGCTTTTAATCGCGGCGCGATTTTACCAGTAGCTAGTTTATTTTGCTGTTTGTCCCACTTCTTTCGGAGTTACGAAACTCAGGATATGTTCAAATTACTGGACATACGTCATGATGTAATATGTGCTGAAAATATGGATTCAAACGCGTCTAAATCGTACCATGATTTTTCCAGCATCTTCTTTTCTTTTCTTGCTTTCAAATTCTTCTTTTCTTCTTTTGACATCTTTGGTCCTTCTCTCATTTTCTGTTTGTTTTTCCTCTAAAACTCATAATTTCTTCACTAATAACTACTAAAAAAACAAAGAAAATTGCTTCTAAAATTACATGATGACTGATTGCCATCATTCACCTAAAAAAAGTAATTTGAGACATCCACTGGCACTTTCCTTGGAGTATTTTCTTTCTTTAGATTAGGGTTTACTACACTTTTCACTGGTCTTGGCTGATATGTAGTGTTTACTAGGCTTGTGCAAATTGAGCTGACTCTGTAGTCTACAGTTGTATGGTGATTTAAGTGTTTTGGGCATAAGCTCACCTGGTCTTCATTAGCATGCAGACCTAAGATGACAGTTCTTGGTTCTCGGGAGCAACTTTGCATTCATGAAAAAGTGAAGTTACTTCGCGGAAAAACACAAACAAATGCTTGTCGATCTGCCTGTCGAAGGCGTGCAAAGCCGAAGCATCAATGTAACCATTTCCAAAATGTTCCTGGCAAGTTTTTAAAACCTTTTCGTTTGGCATACAATATAAGTACTTACCCGTATATGTTTGTAAGAATGGGACATAGTCCTTTTGTAGGTTGGGTTATTGGAATCAGATATGAATTACTTGTGAAAGTTTTTAGTCAAATTATTGCATCTTGATTTTGAAGTTTTGGTGTATTATCATTATAACACAGCCTAATTTGAGAATATTACTGAATTTCGATGTAGAGTATTTGAAGCACAATCCTAATCTTGGAGAAGAGCCTGTGGATATCGAGGATTTGGTAAATATTGGCAGGACATCTGGGCCGTACGTTTTCTCAACTGTGCCGTATCTTTTTTGTTTTTTCTAAATAAAATGGTTGGTTACTCGGATATCTGTTTCAAACTTTGTCCGCTTATTTCAGGTGTCCTTATTATTTATCAAAGGAGCTCCACAAGGCTGTTGACATAATATTCGCTCCATACAACTATCTTATTGATCGAGGGTATAGAAGTTCTCTGCAACTTTCTTGGAGCAATAGTGTACTCATATTCGATGAAGCTCACAACCTGGTACAAAGATATACTAATAAGTTATTGAAAAATGATGTTTATTGAATAGAGTATTGTTCTACAATGTGTGAACCCGGCAAATTTTCATTTAGTGTTGTCCTTTTGCCTACTCTAGTAACGCGTTATTCTCTTATTGATGCTTATTCATGCCATTCAAAATTTCCTGCTATCACTAAATTACAGTTACCTTCTACAGGAAGGGATATGTGCTGACGCAGCCTCCTTTGATCTGCCTTCTTGGCTTCTAACAGCTTGCATTACTGAGGTCCAAAGTGTTGTTGACCTTTTAATAGTAAGAAGAAATAAATCAAATGATAAGTCACAAAATCCAGATGATTTTGCTATCCTTAAAGGTGAGTTTTTTACTTTCTGGCCAACGTCCTTAGAGGTGAGCTATATCTTATAAAATGCTAGTATAAGCTCCAATTCTCCATGACAGTATCATGATGTATGCTTTTACTTAATTTGTTAATATTATTTAGGGAACTTCTCTGAGGTAAAAAGCTTATTTAGTTTTCGATGTTAACTGGATTTTCTGGCAAAGCAGATATCTGTATACATAAGACATTATTTTTCTCTCTCTAGATTCTAGGTAGGGTGCTTTGAAATATTTTGCAATATATTTCCTTGTATCTCGGGCACAGGGTGACATTTTATTTATTGCAGCACTTCTTCTAAAACTTGAGAAGCGTATTGCTGAGGTTCATATTGAATCTAAGGAGTTGGGGTTCACGAAACCTGGGCCTTATATTTTTGAACTGCTGGCTGATCTTAATATCACACAAAAGACTGCTTCTAAGCTTAAAAGTATAATCGCTGAAGCTGTAACTCTTCTTGAGGAAGAAAATCAGGAGAAATCAACTGGCACCATCTGCAGATTGGATAGTATCAAGGATATTCTTGATATTGTTTTCAAGGACGGAAAAACTTCTCATGCTAAATACTACCGTGTGAGTTTTGAACTCTTATTTACACTTCAGTGGATTGTTCTTGTTTGTCCTGTTTCTGTATGGCAATTCTTGTTTGTATATTATTGCTTTACTTGTTCTATAATAACTTAATTTACAACTTCATTTCCATGCAAATAACAGGTTCATGTGAAGGAGGTTGAGGCTTGGGGGGCCAATAGTTCTAAAGGTAATTTTGAACTTATTTGGATAAACTATATATACTCTTGTCGGATTTGTTGTTATGCCAATTTTCTCACATTTACTTTTAGTTTAAACTTTTATGTAATATGTTTGGCTGTGATTTATCATTTCTGTGCCACTTGTTCAGCTTATTGTTTATGATTTTTCTCCCTATTGATCAATTTTGCTTGATTTCTTTATTAGGCTCACCTTTTTTTTTAGCTTCTAGATATTTGTGCAATAGATATCTTCATGACAAAAAAAGGTTGTTTATGAGAACTTTGGATTATATTCTCTTGACTTTATTTCTATATCCTAATCACTGTAAATCTCTTGGGCCTTTGGTTCACGTGTAGCTATACTGGAATTAGGATTGATAAGTTCAATATGGGACCTTTGGGTTGTGTAGTACTAGTAGTTACCTTGAGGAAGAAGTTTTCATGTAGAACATTCTCTCATACATGACAAATATTTCTTCCATTCTGCGACATTCTAACGTGTTTCTAGTGGACATCTACAGTACTTTTTAATTGTAGATATCCATTTCCCTTCCATTTTTCAGTTATTATATCTCTTTATTTTGTTTACAGGTCAGGTGTCAAGAACACTCAGCTGGTGGTGCTTTAACCCAGGAATAGCCTTGGAAGGATTTGCCAAGGAAGGGGTTAGATCAATTATATTGACATCAGGCACATTATCCCCTTTGGACTCTTTCGCTGAGGAACTGAAATTGTAAATTCCTTTTCTTGCCTATTGTTTTTTATCTAATATAATATATTACATATTGGTGTCATTAACTAACTGAGAGGATTATGATCGTGTCAGAGACTTCCCTATTCGGCTGGAAAATCCACATGTAATAGGCCCAAATCAGATATGGGCTGGCGTTGTTTCGGTTGGTCCTTTAGGGCGTACTTTTAACTCCTCTTACCGCACTCGTGATACCATGGAGTACAAACAGGAGCTTGGAAATGCAATTGGTATGTGACAATCTCATGGCTATACTGGATTTGTTACAATGAAGCCTTGTGTACTGTCTCACCACTCTTAAAACTGCATATTTAGTTAAAATGCTGGAGTCGTGCTATGTTTGATAGTTGAAATCTTGTTTGTGTATGGACTGGAGCATTGCATTCTTGATGTGGCTTGATCCTGGTTCCATATTCTAGCCTTCTAGGCCTAATTTTTGGAGTGCTTTAGATTACAGTTTTATGCTGATTAAACACATCTAGGTTTTGGATATTTTAACACACAAACTTTTCTAGTTTGCAGTAGTATGTGAAACTGTGGGATATATTTCATGTTTAGATATGGATTTGTGTAACTGGTCGTAAATTTGAGTTAGAGTTTAAGTTGTCCGAAAATTTGATAGTTTATATTCTTATCTAGGTATTTATTAGAAGAATGACATTAGACGTGATTGTTTGAGACATACGAGTGTAGCTTTGCTCTCATAGCCCTGGGAGTAAAAAATAATTTTCTGAATAGTATGCTGCAACCCAAGTGAGGAAAACTAATGCAAATTACAAGAAGTTAGTAATATGTAAATTACATTCACGGTTCTGCTTGATATAATTTCATAAAGCTATAAATAGTAGGGATTGTTACTGATTGCCTTAATTTCACATTTTTTTTACAGTGAATTTGGCTCGAATTGTCCCAGATGGGCTTCTCGTATTCTTCCCATCTTATTACCTTTTGGAGCAAAGCATTCAGTGCTGGAAAAGTATTGTAAGCCCTAATAAAAAATTTAAATTTCTTTGCTATTGACTCATTTAACAATGTCTTGTGGTTTGTTATTTTCAGAGTAATGAAAATTCAGCATCAATATGGGAGAGAATTTGCAAACACAAAAAACCAGTTATAGAGCCTAGGGAATCTTCACAGTTTGCCTCATCAATTAAGGTATGATATTTAATTATTTATGTGGCATAGTTAAACAACATTCTTCCATAAATAGCACTGGATGCATGAAATACCCTTAAATGGACCCATGTTTCTCTGACAGGACTACTTAACTAAGCTGAACGACACCACTGCATCTGGAGCTGTCTTTTTTGCTGTTTGTCGTGGGAAGGTATGTCTCAATCGTGGCTGTGGAGAACTGATACCGTGTTTTCATATGCTTTCATATTATAATATGTAATACACATACTCGTATATGTGGCTGTACCTCTACTAGTATGATACAACCATAAAACTAGGCCTGAATGGATGGATGTGGCAATACATGGGAAAATTCTAGGATGCAACAAAAACATGTGTATCTTATAAATTAATTAATCATCAAATATTTAATGGGGAAAATGTTCATAATAGAAGCATCATCCTAGAAATTGTACTGCAAAGCAAACATATAGCTAAGTGCCCCACTTTGATGCATCTGAACCTAAAGTTTGTTTGTATGAATGGTTATTTAATAGGTAAGCGAAGGATTAGATTTTGCAGATCATGCAGGTAGAGCTGTGGTCATTACTGGTTTGCCATTTGCCACAAGCATTGATCCTAAGGTTTGCTAATCTTTTCCTATTCTCTTGTGAAAAATCTTTTACAATTCTTAGTTTTGCATTGTAAATTTGTATGCTATTGCATTCATTAAGCATTCTGATATTAAATAGTCCTATTACTGGTAGTTATGTGATAGAAACTGGTACTGTGATTGTTTATTTAGGGCAATACATTAGAGAACTGCTACTTACCAGTCATAGATATTGGGGATATGATGAACATGTGAATAAAGGATACGAATAGAAACTCTATAACAGAGGAACAAAGCCTGCGGATGTAACTTCCAGCAAGACAGTTATTGAATTGACAAATAATGCAAACTGTTTACAACCAGCAATTGACAAATAAATCAATCTCTAGGAATTAGAGAGCCTAGTCTCTCCCAAACCAACCAACATACAAAATACCTAATCCCCTCCCTTTTCCCTTTCAATATTTATAATTCTGACTACCTAAAGCAGTTACAAAGCAGTTATTGCACACACAACACTAATAATATAATAAACTGCCAATTATTAACATTATGTTACTCATGTTTGTATACACATGTTATTGTTATTAAAATTCAGTCATTGGATTCAATCACTAACAGGTTCGTCTAAAACGTGAATACTTGGATCAACAATCTGGAGCACAAGGACAGTCGTTCAAGGTTACATTTTTTTTCTTCTTTTGACTTAAATGCTGTGCACCTATTGTATGCAGTACATATACTTATTTTGCTGGATTCCGGAACTTAAACTAGGTTCTAACCGGAGATGAGTGGTATAATCAACAAGCTTCTCGAGCTGTGAATCAAGCTGTTGGACGTGTAATTCGCCATCGCCATGACTATGGAGCCATTATTTTTTGTGATGAAAGGTTTTAAATTTTAGATCTTATAAGTAACTCTCCACTCTCTTTTTTGAGTCTTTCAAGTAGTACATTTTAAAAGGAAAAAATATTGATCCATCTGTTTTTTATTTTGAAAATAAATGATAAAGTTGGTGGTTTGTTTTGGTCCTAACAAATAGATGTTTTCTGAGTGATGTTCTCTCTCCCCCTATATCAAAAGTCAGTTAGTGTCATGATATTTGATATGAACTACTAACTTTTCTTTTATCTAAATTTTCTGAAATAAGTATCTCAGTATAAACACTAGCAAACACAAAAGTCAACTGAAACACATGTCAAAATGCTAGTAAGAATTATTGTTTATTATATTTAATAGTTTGTTATTCTATGACCTTAGTGATTATTAATCTAGCCTTTAGTTTGTCAACTTCTGCTGGAGATTATTAAACTCTTGGAGTAATTTACAGGTTTGCACAACCTCATCGCCAATCCCAATTCTCAAAATGGATACAGCCTCACATCAAGGTGTTGGTCTGTGCCGTTGTTTGTCTTTTTGAGTCATATTTTTTGTACTAACTGATTTCTTATTTTGCAGTGTTACTCAAGATTTGGAGAAGTTGTTTTTACTCTAACTCGCTTTTTTCGAGATGGGCGAACTCGAGGTTCTACAAAGCTGTCACTATTGGAAGCTGAAAATGGTGGTCAGTGTCCTCTAGAAATATATTTTCTTGGCTTTATTTGTGTTGCATCACGGTCCCTCGATAGTTTTGTTACTGTCACACAAAAGTATTGTGAATTTGTTTCTTGAATAGGCAGTTGAAGTTGTAGCAAATTGGATGGGACTTTTGTTATTTCATAGAGGGTGGCTGTTGTTATTAAAACATGGTTAACTGCTTTCACTAGTGAAGGATAAGGAGGGAAATATGAGTTGACTACAACTTAACTTGTATAGGATCACAATAAGTTGAACAAAATTGACTTGAACAGACTGCTTTCTCTTTCAAACAAATTTCTAATTCTCTGGATACCCCTCTTCTATCTTGCTCCTGCTTTTTAAACCCTTGTAGACAAAAACACGATGAATTCTATTAATTTTCAACAAGCCCCCATCTACCCATCTGCCTGGGGGACTCTAATTTAACTAACCGAAAGAAGTTGGTACAAGAGAGAATTTCAGAGAGAACTGTATAGAGACTGTTTTCTGAATAATAACTTTCCGCGTTTTTAATCTCCGAGTTGTACTCAGGTATTTATAGTGCATTCAGCTAGTTACACACTCTGACAGTTGTATAACTGCAACTGCAACAAATTTGATACTATAAACATGCTACCATACTCCTATACTCTGATGTACTTTAATGTAGTATGTATACAGAGTATAAACATGCAGTACAAATCATACGCTCCAACTGTGTACTCAACTCTAGCCCTATTCCCATTTATTCTTATGGGTCCTATCATTAACTCATTCTGTAAACTAGTTTTGTTTTCTCAGTATATTTATGTTTCATACTGAGTCCTAACATAAATTGTTTGTTTTGTTGAATATAACTTTTTACGATTTTTTTTTATATTGGCAAAGAGTAACAGTAAAGAGGATAGTACAAGGGGTACCCCGATCCATTACAATAAAGGTCCAGCATCCAAGAACACCAGAAAATACAAGAAAATGGATTCATACACCAATCAGAAAACATAGAAGGGAACTTGGGACATAGTCCGAAAACCAAACTCCCGCTCTAACTTTGATAAAGTCTAAAATTGCAACTGTATCACATCTAACAACTTTTTTTAGCTGTAAAAGGATTCCTAAAATAATTCTATACAGGCTGTATTTCATGTTCCATTTCTGCAGTTTTCAATCAATGCAAATCTTGCTAATTGCAAAGAGTAGATTCTCTTAGTTTATTGTTGTTTTCTTTTTTCCTACTAGTATAGTTATATGATTGAACTATATGATCCTTCCTCATTCAGGGAATCTGGGAGAAATGCCATCATCAGAGCACTTTACTGACAAATTTCACATGGAAAAACTTCTACAACCTTTGGTAATTCCTTGACTGTGCACCATAAAGACATTTTTTGAATCATATAATGCTATTGTTTTGTACTCCAGTTTGTTAATGATTGTACTTGCAGCCTACACCAATGACTCCAAATTGTACTTCGAAAGCTTCATCTTTGCTTGACACAAAAAAGGGCTACACTTCATTTGTGGGGGGAATTCTGCCTGCCAATCGCTCATCTCTGTCTTCTGACCGTAGGTTGACCATAGGTTGTGACAGTTCAAGTGATACCCGCGAGACAATTTTGCACAAAAGGAGGACTGTGCTGTCACAAGAACCTGATGGGTTTGGTTTGGGTGATAGTTGTCAACTGGGTGAAAAATCAAAGAATATGCTAATAGCCCCTTGTTTTACCAAGAAGCGTAGATTTATAGCGGGAGAGTATGACCTAAAGCAACATTTTGGAAATTCTAATGAGCAATCACCATCAGGTAGAATTTTTTTCATCACACATCTCTAAATTCCATGTGTAATAAATTCAATCTTGATAAATCATTAGATTTGTCATATAGGTAGTCAAAATGCTCAAGGTGATATAGATCTGCAATGTAAAGATAATGTGACCTCTCCAAGTAGAAACACTGAGTTTCTTAGACAAAAAGATAATCTTCCTGCTGATTCAACACCTTCTACTGCAGATGGAACCCAAGGATCAGCATTCCTTACTCAGGTAAATTCATTTCATTACGTGTGATACATTGTTCTGCTTATAGCACAAGATGTGGGGAATGCCAATAACTGGAACTTAAATAAATTAACTATTGATGCCAATCTGCGAGAGAATCCTATGAAATCATGAACATGAACTGTAAGGACATGATTAGATAGGATCTTAATTTTGATATTGGTTCTTGAAATGATTACACGAAGTTTAACTAGAAGTTGCTAGTTCCTTTTCATTTGCTATTTGTTATACAAATATGACAGTTCCTTTCTTAGAGCAAGGGTGATTTATTTAATTCATGCTCTGTAGGTCCGAGATAAACTCAGTGCTGCAGAATATATAGACTTTGTGGGTTATATGAAAGCGCTGAAGACCAAAACATTGAAGATTAGTGAAGTTTTACTAAGCATTTCTAGATTGTTCTCTGGACCTGAGAGGTTACCTCTTCTTAAAAGGTATGTAAATTGTAACTATGTGTGTTTTCTGGTTATGTAGCACTGTCCTTGTTTCCATTTGTCAATAGAGCGTTATTATTGAAAATTCTTGATTTGTCATCGAGACTATTTACTATTCTTATCTTGTTTTACCATGTATGTATTACACGGGCAAACACCTTGTCTCTGCTGTTATTGCATATGGGCAAAGGCATTATATATGCTAATTGTATAGTATCTGAGAGTGGTCTTCATTCTCACCCTCCATTAAAATTTCCACTCAAACTTATTACTTCTGATGTCTAATCATGTTGACCTTTGCTATTTTATGCTCAACAGGTTCAAGGATTACATCCCAGCAAAATATCATTCTTTGTATGAGCAATATGTTGAAGGAAAGGTTGATTGAAAGTGCACAGCTCGTGACTGTCAATTGATAATTTTTCAGCTAAAACTCAGCTAAAACTCAGGTGCGCTCTTAGCATCTTTGCTATTTTGTGATTGATAATGTGGAGTGGGTGGACAGGAATGGATATTTGAATATTAGTACATTACACAAATTGTAACAAGACTAGGAATGTGGGGAATCTATGAAGCAACGTTAATTGGAGATTGTTCTCTTTTATTTGATATAAATTGATCTCATAATCTCTGGATGAGGGGTTTAATTCAAACTGATAATAGTTGGGCACCTTATTGCAAAGGTATACTTTTTGATAGTGTCACACAAAGCATGTGTTGGAAAGGGTCATCTATAGATTTAATATTGACCTCGTGACCTGGGTGGACAAGCAATTCTCATATTTCAGAATGACTCAATATACATCGAAAGAATGGCCATGGAATTTCTTATGCCGGGATGTCAAATCATTATGGAACAGAACCGTGCTCCTCAGCATATTACCAAGGTTACCTACCTGTGATAATATATAGCCATATTTTTAAGCAAAATGTTGAGATACAATAAAATGCATCGCGCAGCAACGGGGTTTGGGTCAATAATTCATCAAGATTATTTATCTGTATTTTATTGTACATGCAGCCAGACAACATTGTATTGCATATAAAGATAAAATATAGTTTTCAAGTTATATACTGTATTGTTACTTCGAGTTATTCTATTCGTTTGATAACCCAAAGCATGGAATGCAGACAATATGTTGAAAAAACCTTTGTTAGACATTTTTGTATAGGCGAATATTAGTAACTTAGTGATTATATTATTTTTCAGGTTCAAATACTGGATCACCTATATTTAATTGAAAACGAAAATAAAGCTATTGCGCCTTCTAGGAAATGCCCACTCCTAACCTAATGAAGCAAGGGTCTCACAAGACGTAACCTTGGCAGAGAATAAAGACAAGAGGTAGTGGAAGTGGAACATCTCCACAAGCGACTCGTCAAATGGGCGTACAAGTAAAACTAACGAATTATTAAGACGTCAATGATGTACAATCGTACAAAGAGAATAAGTGATTGATAAATTAGGCAATTTTTGGAGTAAATTATGAACCGTGAGCAAAGAAATCAATACTCAAAGGAGAGACCCTTGGGGTTCATAGTGTGGAGGGAGGATTGAGTGTTACTCACCTCCTTTTTCATATCAATGATTTATTTATTTATTATAATTTTTAAATTATGTTTAGATTGATGAATATAATGAAACGTAAAAGAAATGCAGAACGGAATGAAATATATTCCATTATATTATTTGGATATATTATTAAAATGTATCATTTTATTGTATATATTTCATATCGGATGGAATAAAAAAAATAGCAGATTTGATAAAATAAGATGAAATAGATTACATCATATTTTATTCCATTACATTATTTGTAAATTCGAACAATATGATCTCATTATTTATTAGTTCACCATCAACACAAAAATACCCTTAATACATACTTGTTAAAGCAAGGCATTTTCCTAATGGGTCTTTTATGGAATCCAAACTAGATCATAGTCCTAGTTATGCATGGATGTAGGTGGAAAATAAACAATGGAACTAATAAAAGTGTAATGAATGCGGCTTGACTTCAACTACGAGATAACACTTGGATTCCTTCACCATAGTCTCAACACATCCACTCACAGTTACCTCAAATTGTGAAGACGTGGAACAGAAGACGTGTGATCTGAATGATCTTAGTTACCTCATGTAATGTTGCAGTTGGATCTGAATGATAATAATCCAAGTTTGATTTTGTAGTAAAGTTTATTCGAAGTGAATTTCGTTACTAATATTCTACTCGTAAGGATGACTTGGCTAGTCATCAAAATTTTAATTTTCTTATTCTCTGTATGGATGCTAGTATTATTAATAAAATGAGTATATTTTTATTTATAAAAAACAGTATTTTAAAATCCAAATTGACTGCTCCAAACCATCTCGATTTTCATCGGTTTTAGAATCGAACAGGAAAAAATTATTTTTCTTTTTAAGTTTGATTTGATTTGGATTATCGATTTAATCGATTTTTTCTGATCTGCTTACACACATAGGTATAAGCAGATAAAAAAAATCAATTAAACAACAATCTAAACCAAATCAAACTGAAAAAAAAAACCGCTTGTTTTTAGTTCAGTTCAAAAACTGAATCAAACCAATAAAAATCAAGGTGGTTATATTCAGTTCTCGATTTTAGCTTTTAAAAACCGTCAAACTGATGAACCGAACTAATTACTATAAATACCCACTTAATCTTTTATTTAACTCATTATTAAATCAAAATTTTGCATCGGTCAAATCCTTCTCCATCTTTGTTTTCACTTCCTTCCTTTGAACTTAACATGCAAGCAAAATCAAATTTCAAACATAAAAAATAGAAACCATAAGGCACAAAAACTTGTTTTTACTAAACTACTGCTCTAACTACCCGCTACCATTGTTTCTCTCGCTACTGTCATTCTTATAGATTATGTTTGCCTTATTTGTTAAGTATAACAAGCGCGAGTAGTGTGGATAATAGTCTCACATTGGATAGGAATGTGGTGACTTGAACATTTATAAGTGGGAGAACCCAAACACCTATCATCTTAAGATTTTGGGTGAGTATGTAGTGTGTCTCTCACAAATGTCTTGCTCTAAAAAAAGAAAAAAATTCCACAATGTACAATGCTTCATAGTGAAAATCTTTCCTAACATTATTCATGTTCAAGTTCTCTTCGTTAGTTTTCATCTATTTTTTTCCACCATTTTGTTTCTTCTTCTTCAAAGAATTTCCTTCAAGTCTTGTTACAAAATAGTTTTGATGTGTGTTTGAGGTGTGAAACATGTTATTTTACGTGTATTGAAATCTTTTATTTTTATTGTTGTGTTTTATTTGTTAAGCTTTTAAATCCCTTCCCAACCTTCTCATGCCAAGTGTAAATTTTTGTTTTCGATAGTGAACTTATTTCATGATGCAATAAAAATCATGTCAATGCTTCGTATGGATTAAAAATAACTTGTAAGTTGTTTAAAAAGTAGAGCATGCAATATATTATATGAAATGTATTATCTAAAAAATTAATAACATAAAATACACCAAAAAACATGATAGTAGAGAATACTAATGAATATAATGTTTGGAAAAAAGTGTTATAAATCGATCAAACAAACCAAACCAAACCAAACATAACCAAACCAAATCAATTAGTTTGGTTTGATTCCATTTTTAAAAAATACTAAAAACTGAACAGAACCAAACCGAAGAAGATATCAATGGTTCAGACAATTTTTTTGACCAAAAATTGGTCCAAACCGAACCATTACACCCCTAGGTATGAACAAGCTGGTCTAAATAGAAAATATTTTTTTTTTGGATTTCTTATCCCACCATATGAGATGGAAAATAACCCTATGAAAAATCGAAAATGCCCCTCATTTTTCGAAGATGTATTTCCAAACGCACCATTTGCATAACTCAATAACACACAAAATTAGTGTCACCCCATTGTAAAACAAAATTTTGGTCCGGAGATGTATCTCCAGACAGATCAATTCAAAATATTGTTGAGCGAACATCTCAATGAAGTTTTTGGAAATAGAGGAAAAAGGAAAATTTTGATGCAATTTTGACTCTCTTGTTCCTTGCAATAATGGACCGGAACCGGAGGATAAATGAATGTATTTCCCTGAAATGTGTCATCTCATAGGAAATGCATATGATAGAGTGTGTATTGTCTTACAAGATATGATTTCTCAGAAACATTTTTTCCACTGCCTGCGTACTGCCTCACCTCAAAATCTAAATGATTGTATTATGTGTGTTGAGTGGATGTCAAAATCCAAATGATCTATGTTAACATCACTTATGTAATGCTAATTTTATGTTATCAATGACAATTCCATTTTGTCAACTTGTTGGTTTTTGCTTCTGTTTTGTTAACTTGTTGGTTTTACGCTTCTATTTCAGTATGTTACGGAAGTACATCTCTGTAGGTATTACAGAGATGCATCGCCAGATCTAGAAACAAATCTGGAGCCTAGCTCAAAATTAGCTTAGGGAAGTATCTGTGTGGTGAGAATACTGGATCACCTATATATAATTGAAAACAAAAATAAAGTTATTGCGTCTGATAAAACTTCTAGGAAATGACCACTTCTAACCTAATGAAGCAAGGATCTCGCAAGATGTAACCTTGGCAGAAAATAAAGACAAGAGGTAGTGGAAGTGAAACATCTCCACAAGCGATTCGTCAAATGGGCGTACAAGTAAAACTAACAAGTTATTAAGACGTCAATGATGTAGGATCGTGCAAAGATAATTTTTGAAGTAGGTTATGAACTGTGAGAAAAGAAATCAATATCCAAAGGAGAGATCCTTGGGGTAAAAGTGTGGAGGGAGGATTGAGTGTTACTCACCTCCTTAACACTCGCCTTTTTTCATATGAATGATTCTTTTTTGAAGTTATGTTTAGATTGATGGAATATAATGGAATGAAAAATAATGAAACTTAATATAGTGGAATAAAGTGGAGCGAAATGAAATATATATTCCACTATATTATTTGGATATTTATTAAATATGTCTCATTTCATTGCATATACTCTAAATTGGACGAAATCAAAAATAAAGAATTGGATAGAATGAGATGAAATAGATTCCGTCACATTTGATTATACTTTATTCATTATTTGTAAATTCAAACAATATAATCTCATTATTTACCACTCCATTTCATTCCATTCTATCACATGCCATCGACCCAAACATACCTTAAAGCTACATCTTACAAAAGTAAGCAGCTCCTCGCCATCCTTAAATTTGAAGAATAACATACTAGTCAAGAAGTGAATCTCATAAGTTCGAGGTGCACATCAATAGAAATATCAACAATGCGACTTAAAAGGATATTGCAAGAATTCTGAGTGTAATACATGGGGATGGATTATCTCCCATTAAATAAGGGGATTTCTTATCC